AATTGAAGATTTGTACTATATGTGATTTTTGTAGTTCAAATACCATTAACTCCATTTTAGTCTGGCCCATTTAAGAAATCTCCATTCAGGGGACCTCCCCTGTGGCGCAGCGGTTGAGCGAGCGCTGGGCTGCAAGGCTGTCCGTGCCAGTTGGATCCCCAGCCACTGGCAAGGGTCCCACAAGGCGCGCAGACCTCTCCTGCTGCTTCTGATTGTACCCAGTGCTTGTACAAATAATTAAATAAATCTTTTTAAAAAAAAAAAAAGAAATCTCCATTCAGAGAAGTTTACTTTACTGTATTTCTCAGATTACAGTGCTCATCCAAGTTCTGTTTGTTAAAACGAGTCACTATAGCAGAACTTGAAAAGGTAAATATATTTGATGTCTATTTCACAAAGATAATAAATATAAAAATGTATAAATGATAAGGCATAAGAAAATAAACTTTTTAAAAAATGAGAGCCAGGAAAAAAAAAAAAAGAAACACCCTACTCTATTTTAGTCTGTAACTGGAAGCCAAGATGACTCGAAGGAATGTGGAAAGTGAATGTGGAAATGTGCTGGGTCAGGGATCCCAAGCCTGATGCTGCTGCCCACAACTTTTGAGGCCTGACGGGAGCCCCCTACCCTGGTGAGCTTTTGTCTCATGGGGCTGATTTCACAAGCCTGTCTGTGGCAGAGTTGAGCCTTGCAAAACTGAAATGATTTTTCCATCTGGCCGATCTCTGTAAAAGATTTGCCAATAAAATAAATAGTCTAAACTGAAAGTAAACATTTGAAAGTAAACATTAAACCAGACGTAAAACTTTGAGCCTTACTTTGAGAAGATATCGAGGTCCCTGGGGATACCCTCTTATCAGAACTTACCCTAAGTTTATCGTAGTCTGTGGGATTATTTGGTTCACACTTTTTTTTTAAAGATTTATTTTTTTATTTATACAATAGCTGGGTACAGGCCAGAGGTTTGGGACGGTGAGAGGATTCACCAGAGACAGAGTGGGGAGCAGAACAGGCAGACAGACAGACCGAAAGCAAAGCTGAGGGGAGGATCAGGGAGACAGGCGAGGTCTGCCGCACCATGTGAGTATCTCCCTGGCCAGCCAGGAATTGAACCCGCGCTGCAGAGGCTGCGGACAGCTTCACAGTGCTGCGGTCAACCCACTGTGCCACTGGGGAGGCCCTCACACTTGTTTTTAAAACGACCATAAATTTCTTGGGTTCACCATTGTCTGTGTCTTGTTAACAACACATTGCAAGCACATTGGTGTATTACAGGTGCTTAATAAAGACTTGGAGGATGAAAAATAAAATTGTTACCTTTAATACATCAAAAGTCATCCTGGCCCCAACCCACGAGAGAGTATTAGCATCCGTGAGAAATTACAAGAATGAGGTGCCTCTGCCAGGTCCTGGAACAGGGCTCCTGAAACAGGAGGGAATATTCTGTATAACATTTGGTCTTTGACCCCAGTTCCTGGCAGCCAGCTGCTAAGTCCCTTCTAATTTCCCAAGTGATAAGAGCACTAGGACCATCTTATGTTTTGATATTTGGCCTCTGACCCACTCCTTGACACAGAGTTCCTCAGTTCCCCGGACTCTTCTGGACATAGGAACATACTTTATTCTTTTCTTGGACTTTTTTTAAATTAAGCCAACAGTTTACGGCCCCATATATGATTTAGGGGTACAGGTTCACACCTCTTCCATGGATGCCATCACTCCACACCCACCAAGCACGCCTTTGTTCTGATGAGACCCTCCCATTAGACTCGTGGATGACATTGGTCATCAGAAACACAGACCAGCACACCAGGAGGTGCAGAGGGAAGAGAAGCACCTCTCATCTGGGGTACGTTGCCCCGTGCATCGCTTCCATCTGCTTGTGCATCTATTTCCTTTATCCTATCCTTTTATAATAAACTGGTGAAGGATAGGGGCCTCTCTGGTGGCGCAGCGATTAAAGACAGCACTATGAAGCTATCCCTAGCCACTGCAGCACGAGTTCGATCCCGACCAGAGAACTGCCCCACATGGCAGCAGCACAGCAGACCTCTCCTGTCTCCCCGCTGCTCCCCTCAGCAGTGTATTTCAGTAGATCTGCTTGTTCTGCTCCCCACTCTCTCTGGAGAATCCTCTCATCCCCCCAACCTCTGGCTTACACCCCAGTCGTTGTATGCATAAATAAATAAATCTTTAAATAAATAAACTGGTGAAGGACAGGCCCCCCGCAAGATGTCCAGCACAGGCCTTCCCGAGACCCGTCACTTCGGCGTGTGGACTATTTCAAGCTGAGGTCAGGCGAGGTCCTGGAGGCTTAAGCGTAGCCCTTACCACGCCCTTCACTTCCCAGAAGAATGAGCATTGGGGATCTGAGCCGGCTTACGGTTTTCTCTAGCTCCAGATTTCCCAGCAGAGAAGCCTGTGTACGTGACAGGCAAACCTGTCATGGAGCATCTGACCCTTCACCGCTGAGGCCTCCTTGTCTCACCTTGAAGCCCTGAGTCTCCATCCCATTCCTCAGCACAGGGTAAACACACTCGTTTTGTCCCATTTACCTTTTGAGTCTATAGCCGTCTGGACTCTCCAGAAGAATGTAATGAAATTTGGTCTGTTCTCCTGCTTCTCTGTCTGGTGTTAACTTGATTGCTCGACCAGTCCAAGAACCCAGAAGGGCGGGGGAGATTTCCTCTTGAGCCTGACGCTAGTAAATAGTAAGGAAACAGGTTTCCTGAGTTCTGTGGATTGCTCGAGCAAATGTATCCAGCCCGGGGGCGGGGCGGTCCTTGGAGACTGACCTGTGGCTGGTTGGTGGGAAGCACAGGTGAAGGTCCAGGCTCCCAAAGTGAGCTTGGTCTTGGGAGCAGGACCCCTTAACCCTGGGACCTCACACCATCTCCAGGTGGACGAGTCAGAATTGAGCTCTCTGGCAGCTCTCTGGGAATAGCTTGCTCCTGTGGGGAAGCCTCCACACCCACCCACGTGGAAGCTGGCCTCAGGACTCTGCTCACTCCCATCTTGGCATTTATCACCTGGGGTCACTGACTTGTTTTTCTTTCTTTTTTAAAAATATTTATTTATTGGGCCTCCCCAGTGGCGCAGCGGTTGAGCGCTGGGTTGCGAACCTGCCCGCAGCCTCTGTGGCATCGGTTCGATCCCCGGCTGCTCCCCGGCCACCGGAGGAGGGTCCCGCATGGTGCGCAGACCTCTCCTGCCGCCCACTGCTCCCCTCAGCAGTGTACTTCGGTCCTTCTGCCTACTCTGCTCCCCCCTTTGGCTCTGGTGAATTCTCTCACCTTCCCACGCTTCTGACTGTACCCAGTGCTTGTATAAATAAAATGAATCTTTAAAAAAAAAAAAAAATATTTATTTATTTATGCACACAAGAGCTGGGGGGTAGGCCAGAGATGTAGGGGGGAGGGGGTGTGAGAGGTTTCACCAGTGACGGAGTGGGGAGCAGAACAGGCAAGCTAACCGAAATACACTGCCGAGGGGAGCAGTGGGGAGACAGGAGAGGTCTGCTGCGCCATGTGGGTAGCTTCCTGGCCGGGGATCAAACTCATGCTGCAGTGGCTGCGAATAGCTTCATAGTGCTGAGACTTAACTCCTTGCGCCACAAGGGAGGCCCCACTGACTTGCTTTTCTCTCTGCCAAGACAAGTTAGTGCCCAGTGGACCATAAATGAAAGCAAAATGAACAAAGAAATAAGTGTCTTAGGATGTTCTGAAGGCTACAGGAGAAATCAAACCGAGGCTTATTTTTTTAATTTCTGGGGTTTGTTTAAGTAAGCTTTTTATTCAGAATAACAGCTCTACAGAAAAGGTGCAAAAATACAGAGTTGTGTCTCAGGCCCCACTCACTCTCTTGGGTTCCCCCCAAGAGACTCAGCTCACATTGCCATGGTACATAGGTTAATTATCAGAACGCTGATGTTTTACTTACTACTCACTGCACACAAGAATTTACTCAGATGGCACCCATTTTTCTGCCAGTCTCCCAAGGAGTGAGGCGCCCTTTTTCCTGAGGAAACTGAACGTCTGGTACAAAGTCTTCATTCACCCACAGCTGTGAGGACTGTCGTTCCAGCTTCTACCTACATTCTGTTCATGGTGATAAACACATTCAGGACGGTGATAGAAGCCTATGGCTCTCCTAGCTTCTGAGTCCTCCTCGGAATTTCCTTTCGTGTCCATGTTCCTACCAACAGTCTCTTCGAGGTAAACTAGACTTTTCAGTAACGCTCTTCAAAAAACTCCCAGCCTGTAGCTCTTTGCAGGCTCCAAAGGGACTCCCCCAATGCTAGGTGTTTGTTACAGCAGCACTCCACATCCAGGGACAAAGTCTGTACAAGCGTCCTGGGCAGCCACAACAAAGCACCACAGATGGGTTTTGTCCTCAGCTCTGGAGGCTGGACTCCGTGGTCAAGGTGTCACTGGGAGGGTTCCTTCTGAGGCCGGGAGGGACATCTTGTCCAGGCCTCCGCCTCGCTGTGGCTGCCAATTTCCCCTTCTTACAAGGACACCTGTTCTTTTGGGTTAGGAGCCACCGATGACCTCACTTGATTGCTCCCCTAAAGACACGGTCTCTGGAAGCAGTCATCTTCAAAGGGCTAGCCCTTCTGCACATACTTCCCGGAGGGACACAACCAGCCAGTGACCTGTGTGTGCTCTGAGCGGAGGCTCCCCTCCCTGGACACACCCCTTGGGGGGCTGACACGTATGGTGCCACGTGGGTTTCTGGGGAGCACCAGGGGTCACTCTGCTTTATCTCAGAATGGACACGCTCATCACAAATGGACTCCAAATCAAAACTGCTAAATTTCCAAATGTTTCGTCTCAAGCCGGACCACAGTGAAGTCAGATCCAGAGTCTCCCTGACCCTGGCCCATGTCCCCCGTTCCAGATCCATGGGAGTTTGTCTCCCTAAGTAAAAACACCCAGATCTGGGAAATGATCCAATTGCCTCCTTAAACCCCCAACTCAGCCCCCACCCCACTCCTATTTAACCCATCAGGTCCCTGCCAGCCTTTCCTGGGGATCCTCATTTATGAAAAAGCAAATCTCCTTGTCCCTCCCACCTCCACCAACACCACTGAGCAACCCACCTTTAGCCACCGAGGAAAACATATTTATAGAGGGGAAGGGCCAGGAGACAAGAGGAGGGGTTCCGAGCAGGGAGAAGAGTGTCTCCACATGTGGGGCAAAAGATCTCACGGGGAACAACGGAGAAAGAAGATGGTTCTGGAAGGCGCTTAGAGAAAGCACTGCTGTGGTTCTAAGTGACTCTGGGCTCCCGCTTGGGGCAGAGAGAGCCCCAGGGAGGCAGGGCGAGCAGCAGAAAGCAACCACCCCCCAGCAGTAGCACCAGGCCGGCCCCCACAGCACAGCCCAGAGACCAGGAGTACTCATGGATCAGGGCTGGGGCTGGGGGGGCCTCAGGGATGACCCTCTGCAGCAGCTCTTCTATGGAATGCCGGAACACCTCCACGCTGACCAGCAGCAGCAGGCCTGTGGGGAGAGGACAGATGTGGTGCTCAGGCCCCAGGGCACCCCAGCCCCAGCTTAGGTGTGAGCATCCCCCCATGCTCACTCCAGGAAGGAACCTGGGGAAACCCCCTAGACCCTCCCACTCACTCATTCAACAACCACTTACTACTAAACACCTACAGGCACAGGTTCAGATGCTGGAGAGGAAAAAGGAACAAGAAGAAAGTGGCCGACACAGAAAGCAGCGTGGGGACTGCGGGGACCAAGAGGAGACGGGACTGGGAGTTGGTGTTTCAAAGGGGACAGAGTTTCAGTAGCGGGAGATGAGAATGTTCTGGAGATAGAGAGATGGAGGTGAAGATTGTACAACAGTGTGAATGCACTTAGAGCCACAAAAGTGGATACTTAAAAATGGCCAAAATGGGGGCTTCCCCGGTGGCGCAGCAGTTGAGCGCTGGGTTGCAAGGCTGCCCGCAGCCTCTGCAGCGCCGGTTCGATCCCCGGCTGCTCCCCGGCTACCAGAGGAGGGTCCCACATGGCGCACAGACCTCTCCTGCCGCCCGCTGCTCCCCTCAGCAGTGTCCCTCGGTCCTTCTGCCTGCTCTGCTCCCCGCTCTGGCTCTGGTGAATTCTCTCACCCTCCCGCGCTTCTGACTGTACCCAGTGCTTGTATGTATGTATGTACGTATGTATAAATAAATAAAATAAATAAAATTATGAAAAACAAAAAACAAAATATATTGTGGGGGCCTCCCTGGTGGTGCAGGGGTTAAGTCTCAGTACTCTCATGTTATGACAGCTGCATCCTGAGTTTGATCCCTGGCCAGGGAGCTGACCCACGGGGCAAAGCAGACCTCTCCTATCTCCCTGCTGCTCCCCTCAGCAGTGGATTTCAGTGGATCCGCCTGTTCTGCTCCCCACTCTGTCTGGTGAATCCTCTCATGCCCCACACTGATGGCCTACACCCCAGTTTTTGTATGCATAAATAAATAAAATAAATATTTTTTTAAAAAGGCAAAATATAGGGCCTCCCCGGTGGCGCAGCGGTTGAGCGCTGGGTTGCGAAGCTGCCCTCGATCTCTGCGGTGCCGGTTCGATCCCCGGCTGCTCCCCAGCCACCGGAGGAGGGTCCCACATGGCGCGCAGACCTCTCCTGCCGCCCGCTGCTCCCCTCAGCAGTGTACTTCGGTCCTTCTGCCTGTTCTGCTCCCCGCTCTGGCTCTGGTGAATTCTCTCACCCTCCCGTGCTTCTGACTGTACCCAGTGCATGTATAAACAAACAAACAAATAAATAAATAAATAACATGCCTCTATTTAAAAAAAAAAATAAATAAAAATAAAAATAAAAAGGCAAAATATATTGTGGAGTGGTACCAATAGAACATCCTTTTGGAATGGATGCGAGGTATAAAAGACCAGGAATGATTTCTAGGTACCTGGCCTTAGCTGTGGGTGAGCCAACGATGGCCGGTGTAGCACAGGCTAATTAACTCTGGCTTTCTGGTCCTCATGGTCTCAGTGGCAACTATTCAGCTCTGCCTTTGTAGTGTGGAAGCAGCCATGGGTGACAGTGAAGAATGCATGTCTCTGCATTCCAATAAAACGGTTTATGGGGACTGGAGGTTGAATCTCATATCATTTTTATATAATCTGAAATAGTATTTCTTTGATGATTTTTCAACCATTTGTTTGTGGACCAGACGAAAATAAGAAGCAAGTAGGATGTGGCCATGGGTTGTGGAATGTGTCCAACCCTGGCCTGGACACACTGGCTGTGAGTCTAGAAAGTAATCAAATGTCCTCATATCTTGTCTCTTCCATGAGGCTTTATACGGCAGTTATTATAATCCCCACTTTACCGATGGAAATGCTGACGTCGAGAGAGGTGGTGCTTGGGTTCGACTGTTCCCTTAGGCATGTCACACAGCTCTTCCTTGATCAAGCCTGACCCCCGTTATGCAGCCTGAAAGACTCCCCTTATGCATGTAATCTGGCCCCTGCCTATATCAACCTCCTCTCAAACTGCTATTCCCAATGTATAGCAATATGGACTAGGACTTCTTTCAGGTCTTCAAACACACCGGATTCTTTCAAACCTGGAGCTCTTTGTGCTGATTGAAATAATTTTCTGCTTACTCTTACCTGAACCTGCCATATATATCCTTGCTCTTCACATCAGTATTTACACTACACTTCTCAGGGAAACCTTCCCTGACCACCAGCACCATTTAAGCTTACATCAGGTCTCCTCTTACACATCCTCCTCAGGCGCCTTACTTCTTTATTTAAAGCATTTATCACAGATGGTAATTGTTAACACACATTAATTTACATAGCATTGTTTGTTTAATTTCTATCTCCCCCACTGGATTACAAATCCATGGGACCAGAAATCTGTCTGTCCTCTTATCTCTAAAACAAAACACACACACACACAGAGAGAGAGAGAGAGAGAGAGAGAGAGAGAGAGAGAGAGAAACAACATAACCTAAACATATTCCTTTAGGGACGAAGCAAAAACCCAGTCTACCCCAGTTCCTGATATCCGATATAAACATAGTAATTATGGACCAAATCCACCCCTCACTTCCATTTGATTGTATAATTGGCTGAACATTTTCATGTGCGAGACTTTCAAAAAACACTTTTATATCCATACTTTCATGGAATCCCCAAGAATAACTCAGGCATGAATTCAATAAAACCAGCACCAAATTCTCACCAAGCTATAAATTCCATGAGAACAGGGACCATCTTAATCGTATTGATCATTCTACCCCCAGTGGTGTCTAGCATAGCATCTAGCAGTTAGTAGATATTAAAGACATACTTACTGAATAAGTGGATGGTTTGAACAGATGAAAAATAGATGGAGGGGGAGAGAGAGGACGGGCAGGCAGACAACAAAAGAAGTAATAGAGGAAGAGAGAGAGCAGGTAGAAAGGGAGGGAATTAATGGATCATTTGAAGGATGGGTAGATGGATGAATGACCGCTTGAATAATGGATACTTGAAAGAGTGAAAGAGAAGATTTAAGCCCAGAGAAAGCAAAAGACTCATCCAAGATCACACAGTTCTTTTTTTTTTTTTAATTTTTTTTATAGAGGCATGCTTTATTTATTTGTTTGTTTGTTTGTTTTTTGTTTATACCAGCACTGGGTACAGTCAGAAGCGCGGGAGGGTGAGAGAATTCACCAGAGCCAGAGCGGGGAGCAGAGCAGGCAGAAGGACCGAAGGACACTGCTGAGGGGAGCAGCGGGCGGCAGGAGAGGTCTGCGCGCCATGTGGGACCCTCCTCTGGTGGCCGGGGAGCAGCCGGGGATCGAACCGGCGCCGCAGAGGCCGCGGGCAGCTTTGTAACCCAGTGCTCAACCGCTGCGCCACCGGGGAGGCCCAAGATCACAGTTCTTAAGAAGTTGGGGCTCCAAGCCAGATATTCTGACTTTCTGTCAATTTCCATCCTTTAAACCAGCATCCTCCTAACTCTCCATGTTCTAGGCACAATGACTTTCTTTCAGGACCTCTGATTCCCCCAACTCTTTCTAGTTTGGTTGTCCATGCTTTGACACTCTAAATTCTCCCTTCTCAGGGAAACCCTCTCTAAAGCCCTGCTTTAAATCAAGTGCTCTCATTAGACACACTCAAACAAGTCTACTTTCCCTTCGTAACACTTACTGCAGTTTGTAATTATGAGATATAGTATTTACGTTATTTCTACGTCTTTTACTAGATGATAACTTCCATAAGGGCAGGCACCTCTTTGTCTTTGTACACTCTTATAATATTACATGTACATACACACGCAGCGTGTGGAATGTGTCTGTGTGAGTCAACAAATGAAATGAACTAGTGAATAAGTGAATGAAAAGAAGGAACTGACTGAATCTTCTCCTGTATCTAGGAAGATCTCTAAGGCAACAGAACAATAATAAGAATGCGATGATTACTATTTTCCATTCATGTGTGCTCCTGAACACTCACCATGTCTCCCTGGACTCATCTTACACTAGGCCTCTACCTCGCTTGCTCATATAGACTACCATGTACGCTTGCGTTTTCGTTTTTATTTGCCCTGCTTTGTGTTCTCATTTTTATTCTGCTTCCCAAACTTGTCAAGTCTTTTACAGCTTTCACACAACGCCATTCTATCACCACCACCACTACCACCACCACCATTGCCAATATCATCACCACTATCGCTACCATTACCAAAATGCTACCACCACCACCGATATTGCCACAATATTGTCACCACCAAACTATGACTAAACAATTCCTATTCACCCCTCAAGTATCAGCTTAAATGTCCCTTTTTTTAAGGGTTTCTCTGATACCTCCTACCATCATGCTATAGATCCTTAGTATGCTTTATTATAACTCTCATCACAATAACAGTTGAAGTATTATACCTGCAATTACTGATTATTGTCTAGCTCAAGAGAAGAATCTAGGCTTGTGAGGGCAGACAGAATATCATTAATCTTTTTTTCTAGTTAGTAAATTTAACAATATTATGCCATATTATTGCTATTTGGTGGCCTCATTTAGGATTCATTTTTCTAATTGAAATAGATTTATGGTGTACTTTCAGACTAAATTTTTTTGGCCTTATTAATCTTATATCTCCAACCCTTAGCACAATTCCTGGAACATAATAGGTGCTCAATAAATACATGAATGGAGAAATTAGTAAAACCTAGATAATGAAAAACCTTTCTGTTTACCTTAGAAAACATTTGATCCAGTGAGGACTATGTTTCACAAGATACAGCATTTTTTAGGCCCTCAACTCCAAGAATCTCAGTTCTTGAAGACCCAGGTCCAAATCTAAAGGAGTGTTTGGAGACTCTCTAATTCCCAGCAACGATTGTGCTAATAATTCTCCCACATTTGTGACTTCTATAGCCCCTGAGATCCCCCCAATTATCAGCAAGCAAGAGTGCTTGGAGACACTACCTCCCAACATGCAACAGTGCTTGAAGATCCCACCTCCCATAATGCAACAGTGCATGGAGCTCCCACCTGCCAGAATGCAGTATTACCAGGAGATGCAAGTAATGCAAGGTACCTAGATATGCCCCCTCCCAGCATGCAATAGCCCTTGTAGACAATGGTCTAAAACAATGTTTGGAGACCCTCCAATCCCTAGTCAACAAGAGTTTGGAGTTTTCCCATCTCTGAGTCTAACCTAACTCCCGGCTTCTGGAAAATCCCAGCATGCAACAGTCTTTGGAGGTCATGCCTCTCAGCATGCAACAGTGCTCAGAGACCCAACCCCCCCATCATGGACGATCCTCATCTCCAGCCTCTCAATCCTCACCTGAGAGGCCAAAGCAGACGGCTCCAATTCGGAGGAGGAACTCTGCACCTTTGCTGAGCACCATGATGATACAAAGGCACCCGAGGGCCAGGACTGCCAGGCCCAGCACTGCTATCGCCGCAGCTGCCAGGTTCACCTCTAGGCAGAGGAGAAAGGGAAGAAGGAGACAACTTGAGATGCAGGTTATGTAAAGGGCTCCTCTGTAGGAACCCAGAACTGGGGAGAAAGAAGCTTCGGAACTCAAGAAAAATTTTCCAGTTCAATATTTTGCTTTATGTTGTTGAAGGAGCTAAGACTCACAGAGCAAAGAGAACAGAACCAGAATTGAAAGGAGGCAGGAGCTACCTATGATCTGGTTGTTGTTTGCTTACTGGTGAGGAAACTGGGGGGGGAGCAGGGGGGGCAATAGAGAAGGCGGGATGTTACTCTGGAATGATTCAAGCTGGAATTCTTGCCAGCTACTTCCTAGCTGGAAGATGGAGATAAAGTCACTGAACCTCTCCGAGCCTCAGTTCCCCTTATAAAAAATCAGGATCAAAACCACTGTCTGGCTGGGCTGTTGTGCACATCAGAAAGCACATGAGTGAAGTGCCCAACGACAAAGACAAGAGAGAAAGGTGTGGAGACGGTAAAGAATCACTTTGTGGAGGACCTACTGTGTGCCAGCCTCACACTGTGTGTCTCAGCTGCATCATCTCATTAAATCCTTTCAGAGCTAGATAATACTCATGACATGAACACAACTGTGTTACTGGCAGGGATGTTGAGGCACTGGGGTGACGGGCTGTGGTCTGACCAGAAAAGATAAATTCTCACAAACTGCATTGCCCAATACAGTAGCCAACAACCCATGTGGCCTTTTCAGTTTAAATGGATTTAAAATAAACAAAGTTAAAGACCCAATTGCACCAGCCATGCTCAGTTGCACCAGCCATGCTCAGCAGCCTCATGTTACCAGGGGCCGCCATATTGGTCAGCGCAGACAGAGAACATTCCAATTTCACAAAAGGTCCAAAAAGGAAAGTACTGCTGTGGAGTCACAGTCATTTGGGTGTGAATCCTGCCTCTGCCCCTCCCACTAACTGGGAGAGGACACAGGATCATTTCTGGATTTCTGCTTTCTCATCAGAAAGATTACGAGAAAGCCCCAAGCCCTTGGGCTTATAAGTGAAACACCCAGTGCTGTGCTTAAGCCTGTGGCAGATGCGCATTTGTGAGATGTCAAGGTACAAGCCACAAAGAGGAGCTGTGACTTGCCCACAGCCACCAAGCATGTGGCTAGGGCGGAGCTGGTGTGACAGCCGCAGGCCTCAGGCGCTGGAGAATCCCACCACCGCCACCCAAGAAGAACCTCTGCAGGACAGAGATGCTGAGCCCATCTTGGGGCAAAGCAGGGGCAACACCACCAAGAACTCCTCTGACATGGTCAGCGTGTCCCCCAACCCCCCGCGACATCCCAGGATGGAAATTTCTTACCTTTCTTTGTGGTTCTTTGGAAGATGCGTGCATTCTCCCCCTTGGTGAAGAATTTAAAGTAGGTGCAGTTTGCTTCTGTGGGAACAGGAGAGAGAGAAAGGGAGGGGATGACATGGAGTTCCTAGTGTAAGCGCAGGGCTGGACTTTTAACATGGCACATGGTAGACTGAAAATTTGTCATTAGCATCCGTGATATACAGAAGGGAAAAAAACATCCCAGAGGTAAAATCCACCCTTGTCGCACACCTCTCCAGGAGCTGGGGTTCCGGTCCAGAGTTCTCAGATGCAGATCTGTGCCTTTGGGTCAACTACTACCTCTCTGGGCTCTGATTCTTCCTCTGTAAAATGAGATCATAATCTCTTTGCTGGCTCCCTCATGTGGGTTTGCTGAGGGTCAAGTGGGATTAGAAATACATAATTGCTTTATTCAACAAAGGACACCAAGATACAGAAAACAGAGCCCTAACAGACTCAGAAGAGATTCTTATCTCAGAAAGGGATCCTGTCAGCAATACACAAAGAACTCCTAGGGATGAATAAGAAGAGAGAAGTAACCCAATTGAAAAATGGGCAAAGCACATGAATAGTCAGTTCACAGAAGAGCTAGTCCAGGTGACTCACAAGGACAAAGGGGGGGTGCTCCACCTCACCAGGGATCAGAGAACCGGCCATTCCAATCAGCAGGGGGGCGCTACTTCAGGTCAATGAGATTGGCAAATATTAAAAGGATAATATCAAGTGTTGGAAGGATCAGAAGAAACAGTTGGGTGTATAAACTGGCACTAGTCTTTCTGGAAAGCACTCTGACATACTTTGTGAAATGAAGTAAAACCCAACCTTTTCACTTCTGCATATACGACCAGCACAGGCAGGACATATATGTGGGTGTCTTGTCTGTAATAAGAGGGAGTCAAATCAACTTCGGGGTCCACCTCTAGGGGAACAGACAAGTACAGGTGAGGGAAGCTCCCCATGCAAATCTCCATGGCACAGCACAGGGTGACCACAAGCAAGAATAACAAAGCACCGTGGAGAGAGCTGAGAAACAGTGTTGGGGGGGTGGACTTAAACCAAAAGAAGGGGAAAAAATCTATAGCACAATATCCATTATGTAAATTACAACACACATTTAAATAATACTACCTATTTTCCATGTTAAAATCCACATCCATGGATGCATATCAGATGCATTAAAGAGATGAGTTAGAAAGGAATGAAAAAAAACAGAATAAGAATATAAAATAAGGCACAAGACAGATCTTGCCAAGCTGGTAATGACTTTGTCACATAAACTGAAGGGTGTGATTCATCCAGCTTTGTGTCCTTGGCGTCCAAGAAGCATTAAACTTTAAAAAAAAAAAAAAGCCTCTCTCTCTACTGTGTTTTAAAGCCAGAACGTCCCTCAGAATCCATCTAGTCCCACTTTTTCACTGATTCTATAGAGGGGGAACTGAGGCATGGAAGGAGGACAGAGGCAGAAAAGAACGAGAAAGAAACACGTTCTGGAAGGAACTTTCCAAGTAGAAGGAGCATGTGGGGTGGGAGGGAGACACCTGAGTCTGGGGAGAAGTGTGGACACCTACCTGGTGCCCTGAGGAAGGAAGAAGGGCTTGAAATGCCCTACCAGCGTCGGGGGGGTCATGGGTCTGATCCTGCAGCAGTAACCCTGAGTGAGGGCTATTCAGCAGAGGGAAGGATGGGGTGCTTTTTGTAGCAGTTGGTGGGGGCAGTGGTCTACATGCACCAGGGAAATTCGAAGTGGGTCTTCGAATTTCTGGGAGAGTTTAAGTGACTGATACCCCCCTTGGTATCATCTCATCTCTTACCCTAGAGGACATGGCATCTCCCACTGGAAAGAGGAGATGGGCCGGCCCTCTTGCAACCTTCTAGAATGTCCTTTTATGGGCAATGGGCTGTAGGGGATATTTCTGAGAGAGGGAATGTTGTAAGTTGCATCCTCTGAGGGGTGGGTCCTATAAAGAGGTTGAAATCCTTTCTGACCAAAAGGGGATCCCGCACATAAGCAGTAAGGTGGGGTGTCTCCTCCCAGTACAGTGAGTACCTGGGGGACATCTGTATGCCCTAGTGACATACAGAGTTGCTGATAAGGCCAGATGGCCAGGTTTCGAATCCCATACGACCAGCCTGGTGCACAGACTGAGTCACCTGTGCTTCTTACGCCTCATTTTCTCCGCTGGACAATAACTAGCAGGGCTTGCTGGGAGGATTAGCACATTCACAACAGAAGTGAAGTCCTTAGGACAGTTGCTGGCACTACCCGAGCATCTATTATTTTCATAATGGGCCTCCCATTTTGCAAAAGGTTGGAAATTTCTGCCTGAGGCACTAAGGGGTGAGCACTAGCTCTCTGCAGAAGGGAGGGGTTAAGATGCTTACAGTGGACTTTGGGTGGGGCCCTCAGACAACCCGGGGTACTTAGCCCCCCCACTTTGCCATCAGGACTTGGGACATCTTCTTGAGGAGCCTGTGGCTATAAAATAGCACAAAAATAGCACACTTGGAGAAGTGAAGGATGAGAGACATCCTGCTGGAGCCCAGAGGCAGAGGAGATACTCTTGGGGGGGTGGGGTAGGGGGGTGCTGAGATTGTAAGTGAATCCTTTGAGAGTAAAACATGTTGGCCATCCTCTGACACCTCACACTGGCGATGTGGCAAGTGGCACCCTGTGTGGGCCCTGTGGGGCGTGTCCGGGACAGTGAGAAGCAAGAGATAGCTCACTGGCATGGCTGGGGGATGTCACTCTGTGGGAGAGTGAGGAGTTTGGAGGTGTCTGGGAGGGTGACAAGGGCTGGAATGTCCAGCATGGGTGTTTAGAGGTGAGAAGAGAAAGAACGAAAAGTATTTCCCGGGAGGCTGAGCATGGCCCGGGGGTGTTGGGAGGTAGTGAGAGCTGTTTGGCAGAATCAGTAGGTGGAACAAGGCATGGAACAAGTCTCTACTTTGGGGTGGGTGGCAAGCCTGGAGGAAGGAGAGCAGACTGTCTCCAGTGCAGGAAGAGCAGCAACACCGGAACCCAGACTGTCGCTCTAGGGCACAGGCTGTCTGTGGGCCTGGGCACAGGCTGTCTCGGGGATGCAGGCGTTTCTGGGGGACTCAAGCTGTCTGGGGCTGGGGACACAAGCTGTGTGTGGAAGCACACGCTTTCTCTAGTGACGCAGACTCTTTTGGGGGCTGTGCCAGGGGTCAGGGGAAGGCCTGGGGGTCATGGACTGACCGAGGGGTACAGCGTGATTTTGGGTACGAGATGATTTGGGGTCACAAGCTGGCCTGGGGACATATGCTTTCTTTCCTCCTTCCCTCCCCCCGCCCAGTTTGTACCCGGGGCTAAAATTTTCTTGGGGAGTACCGGGTTTTGATGTGCACAGCTCTCCAGGGCGCTCCCTGAGGGTGCAGGTTCTCCCTGGGGGCTCAGAGTTTTCTCAGCACCGCCCTCCTGCCTGTGGCTGGCTGTGGGGTACGCCCAGGGGCGCGGATGGGGCCTCTCACCTCCGGGCAGCTCCGCGGGGCCGCAGGTGTCTCTGCCCGCGGGCACGTCCGCCTGCCACAGGCGCTTGGTGCACACCTTCCACAGCCCCAGGTGCGCGGCGTCGCAGACGGCGCTGCCGTTGGCCTTGAACGTGTTGAACTCCACCCAGAACTCGGTGCCCACGGCCAGCACGGCCAGCGTGGCGCCCACGGCGGTCAGCAGCAGCGCCAGCTTGACCTTGCTCTCGCGCTCGGGCGCCAGCCCCGACCCGGGCCCCTGCGCGCGCCGCCGGCTCGCGGCCCCGCGCCGCCGCTCCTCCTCTTGCATGAAGAAGTTGGACCACATCATCCTCGCACCGGCCGCCCGACGGGGCTGGGACCCGGAGGCAGAGCTGGGCGAGGCCCTGGGGGCGGGGGGGAGGGAAGCCTGGGGCCTCTACGGGGTGCGGGGCTCAGTTGCCACCAGGGGCCGGCAGAGGAAGAGCTGAATCTTTCTGGAATCTCGAAGGAGGGAGTCGAGCTTCCACTGGTTTTTAGAAGAGAAAAAAGTCTAGATCCCCTGACCTGCGTGAGACCCCCGTGAGGATCCCGGGATCCCTGTGAGGGCTTGGGGTACCCACAGAAACCCGGCAGGGAAAAGGGGATCCAGAGGAAAAGCAGGCTCCGCCCACCCGCGGGCGCTGGGATCTGCGCGCCCCAGAGAGGGGCCTAGGGGTGCGGAGGAAGGAGGACGGAGCGCCCCGTGGAGCTGGGGGGCTGCTCTGGGGTCCCCACCGGGAGGAATCACCGCAGAGAAACTGGGTTTTCTGAGGGAAGGGAACTGAACACCCCTCCAGAGTCTGGGGTGCCCAGGAAGGGGCGCTCAGCTCTACGTGTCTTTCGGGCTCAGAGTCTGGGGTGCGAGGAGGGCGAGTTGGGTCCCTTCTGGGGTTCGGAGGAGCTCGAGTCTGCAGAGGCTCCGAAGGGGCGGGCGGGTCTTCTGGGTCTCAGCGTGGCCGCGGGCGCCCCTCACATTCACAGAGGCCGAGGGCAGAGTCCCGGCTGGGTGCTGGGGTTCAAGAAAAGGGGATGGGGGCGTCCCTGGCCCTTCAGGGGAGAGATCAGAGGTTCCCCGGGGCTGAGCAAGTGGGGTCCAGCGAAGCCGGCTGAGGAGCTCCCCGGGGCTCAGGAGGGGGCTCTGGAGTCCCCGCTGCGGCTCAGATCAGGGGGCTGCGGCCCGCCCCGCGGCTCGGAAGGCGGGGACAGGGTCCCCGGGTCCCGGGCACCCCGGGCACGGCCGCGACGCCGAGGCCTGCGGCTCCCGCCTCTCCCCTCCCCCGGGCTCCCAGGGCCGGCCCGGCCGGGACCGCTCCAGGCTCAGCTCCGGGCCGGGCGCCTTCCGCCGGCCCCCCGCCCCCGGCTCCCCGGCCGGGACCCCGCTCGCGCTCCTGCCTCGGCGCCGCACCGACCCCAGCTCCGCGCCGCCTCCGAGCCGTGGCCCGCGCGCCCGCCGCCTGCTCGGCCCGCCGGCCCCGCGCCCGCCGGCCTCGCCCCTCGGCCACCCCCGCCCCCGGGCTATTTCGGGCCCGACCCGTAAATAACACCCGCACCTGTCGCCCGGCGCCTGTTGCCATAGGGATCCCGGGTATTTTAAGGGGACAAGGGGGGGCGGGGCTGGGGACCGGGTCCTGACCCGCGTGCAGCATGAAGGGACTTTTACTTCCTTTCGGGGCAGCGGCGGGCCGGGAGCAGGAGGCCCGGCCTCCCGGGGGGCGGGGACCGGAGGAGGCCGGGCTGGGAACGGGACTCCCTGGGCGGAGGGAGGAGGCCGGAGGCCTGGACTCAAGGGTGCAGGGGAGGAGGCCCAGGGTCTGGGTTCCTGGGCCTGAGGGAGGCGGCCCCGGGGCCTGCAGGCCCGTCCAGAGAGAACCAGGGACTCAGGTTTCTGGGCCTGAGAGTGGAGGAGACCAGAGAGCTGGAATCCCAGAGAGGCTTGGGGACCCCGACCCTGGGTCCGAGGGAGCCGCCCAGGCCCCTCCGGCCTGGTCCCTGGGTCTTTCAGGCCGAAGCCTGAATGGTCACATTCAGATCCCCAGCTCCCCTGAGGCAGAGAGGGCACGCCTGAGGGAGGGGCTGGCAATCGGCAACCAGAGCCACAGTCCTCTTCATAGAGTTTATTAGAAGGGGCGCCCCTGGGGGACCTTCCATGCAGCTTCAGCTCCCCCAAGGGCAGGGATGGGGACAGCCATGTGGCATGGCGGCGGGGCCTCATCTTGAACCCTTCTCCCCCTCCCTCAGCCCAGGTGGGACCCTCCTTTCACCAGCTCTTTCACACACTGTGGCTGCTCCAGCAGCCCCGTGCACCCTGAGCCTCGCCAGCATCCTACCCCGGATGCCCCGGCGCCCTGCGCCACTTGTGCTGGTGCACATCCTGCCCCCGGGTGTGATCGTGTGCAGTGGTGTGCGGCCATCCCACCAGCCCTGCCCAGGTTCGCTGGAACTCAGCTGGCAGTTCTCGGCACCGCTGTGGCCGGGCCTTAGGAAGTGTGCACTGGTGACTATTGAGCAAGTGGCCGAATGGAAAAGGTGAGGTGGCGACACAGAGATATCCCTGCCCCTGCTGCCCCGCGCTGAGCGCCCGCCTGCATCCTAACTTGCATCCCCCCAAGGCAGCTCTGAGGTTGTAGGCTGTGGCAACTGGGAGGTCTGCTAAATGAACGCGTGAGACCTGTTCTTTCCCTTCACCTCACCTGGTCTCCCCAGACTTGATGGGGCCCGGGGGGGAAAGGGAATATGTGCTTGTGCTGGACACCTCCAGATGGGCCCAGTAGCTCGAGGAGGGGCCACAGAGCCTGGGTCCAGCAGTCCCCACAGCACCTGTCCTGCCCCCCCTCCCATGCAGCTTCCCGCACTGGCCTTGCGTCTCCCCATGCCTCTCAACAGCTCTCAAGAGCCGGGGTGCATTCTCCCATCTTCCATGCTCCAGTCTCCAAGCCTCCCTTTCTCTCCTTTCACAGAAAGGGTATGACCCTGGTACCGACAGGCTGAGTGGATTAAGACGTGGCACAGACACACCATGGAATACTCTCGAGGGTTTCTCATCCCCTCCCGGGCCACTCAGCTGTTTCAAAGGAGGCACTCCTGCCCTTCGCGACAACGTGAATGGAGCGGGGAGTGATTCTGCCAAGCAAAATAAATCAGGAGAAAGGCAAAGACGCCATGATTTCACCCACAGGTGGAAGACAGAAAAACAAAAGCAAAGGAACAGACAAACTTAAACCAAAACCAAGCTGGGAAGTCTGACTGCAGGATTTGAGGCTGGGGGCTGGTGAGGGGGGGAGCAGAGGAGGAGAGGCCCCAGACTGGTGGAGGGTGATGGGTGCTTTGGTGGTAGGTGAAGTATCTCTGAAGAGGCGTGAACCTGTACCCCTAAATCATAGTGTTGTAAACCAGCGTTACCACAATAAACACGACTTAAAAAGGGGAGGGTATAAACTCTCTTTGGTGTGAAGGTTCTCGTCACTTTCATACCTGGAGGGCGGCCTAGCCTCGGTTCCCTCCATGCCCCTTCCACTTGCTCCTTCCTTTCATTACACACAGGGCTTCCCGGGTGCCCCTGAGAGACACAGGGTCTTGGAGCCCCGTGCTCCTCCTGCTTCCCTCCTGCCACCCTCACAAGCCCTCCTGGCCCCTGGGCTGCACCCCTTTCCCCTGATGTCGGCAGTGGCCCCGAGGCTGTGGCCAGGGTCACGTCTCTGTCCTCACTCGCTGCCTGGGTCACCTCTGCCTCTCCCAGGCTTCCAAGGTCTCCTGCATGCTGACGTTCCCGAAAGCTCTGGTCTCACATATCCCCGGGTTACCTGATACCCAGATTTGGGTTTCTCGCAGGCATCTCTCCTGGACTCGTTGGAGGACATGAGTCCTCCCCCCCTAGAATCCTGCATCCTTCTCCCATGACTCCCCTCTAGGCAAAAACCGCAGCACCCCTCCAGCCCCCCCACCCCCCCAGCCCCATTAAGAGTCTGTCTCTCTCCCAGGTTTCTAGTTTCCCGCCTGGGTTCCACCCAATTCTCTTGCTACTCCAGGAGCCACCTCCCAAATCCATGCCTGGTTTGTTTCTCTCCACGGTGCTCCAGGTCACTGTCAGCCCCGGCTGCGCAAGGACAGGGTCCCTACCCCTCCAAGTGCACTCCCCAATCTACTCTCAGCAACGGTGTGGCTCTTACTTTTTTTTTTCTAAATAAAACCCTGATGCTGTCCTGCCTGCACCCCAAACCCTCGTTGGGTCTGCCCGCCAGTCTGGAATATACTCTGATTGCTTCCCAACACTATCAACTCGCCCTTCTCAATGTACCTGTCCCAGGGCCTCCTTGCAAACAGGCGAGACCGTGGGGGCGGGAGGGGCCTGGCGCCCTTTTCCTTCTCACAAGCCTGTGTGACTCCCACAGGGAGGGCTCGTCACCTGTAGCGGCCCCACCCCACCTCTGCCACCACATCCTGCTCAACATGGAAGCACCGCCGAAGCTTCTGACCTGCTCTCCTGAGTGTACATCTGTCCTGCAGTCGCCAGGAGCAAGAGACCTTGACCCTCTGCTCCCCCACACTCCTGGTATCCAGACTGGGTCTAGACTGAGCTCAAGAGAAATGATCAGTCCTCTAGGCTGTCCTGCGTCTCGGGCTCCACATCTCTGTGGCTGTCATTGACTCTTTCCGTGCTTCTACCTCTCGGTCTCCATGTGCTCGATTTTTGGGTTTTGGTTTTTTTTTTTTTTTTCAAATCTCCGAGAGGCTTGTCTTCTGATGTTACTTTTGTCTATTTCTCCGCCCCCCACTTCTCTCCTCTGGGTCCTCCCTCTGTCCCTGTCTTTGAATTTTTCTGTCTCTGTGACTCACCAAGTTTTGGGCTCTTCTGCCCTCATCTTATGCCCCCACCTTTCCCCCCTCTCCCCCACTTCTTCCCCGTCTCCTCCCATCTGCCCCTTTCCACCCCCCTCCCCATCTCTCTCTCCTTCAGATCATCCCCCACCTCCTCCTTTTCTGCTTGGCTTTTGGACCCTAGAATCCACTTGCTCCTAAGTAGTTCTAACCCCCATTCCCCACCAAAGAGCCCCCCTCCACCGAATTTGTCCTCTTGAACTGCAGCCCTCCCTGCCCTTCAATTATTCCCTACTAAGTTCTCTGTCTCATTCCGTTGTATTCCTTCCCCTTCTTGTCAGAGGCCCACCTCTTCCTGGGAGAACCCCTGCAATTCCCCCTACACTAGCTCTCCAGTCTCTCCGTTTCCAGTCCATCCATGCGGACCCCAGGGGGGAACTCCTGCACCCAGTTCTATCCAGTCCCGCCTGCTGCCTCTGGTATCAGGACAGAAGCTGGGAGACCCCTGAAGACAGAGAAAGATCCCAGATGGCTCCTGGCACAGGGGAGAACTGGGGAAATATTTGCAGAGCAAATGAAGGGAGACCACCAAGCCTGCCCTTCCTGCCTCCGCAGTCACCCTCAGAGCTCCCCACCTACGGCCACAAAAGCCCAGCCCGGCTCAGCTCTTGCCCTCTCATCTATCAGACATCACTGAACTCCTACTAGCCCTTCCCCACATCTCCCTCCCAACTACCCCAACTCTTCCTTTCTGCCTGCTACCCTTCCCGGAAAATCCAGACCCTTGGCTGCAAGTCCAGTCTCTGGCTTGTTTCTCTGGCCTCCAGCCCCCCCTATCCCTCAGGGCCCCAAACTGTGGGCACTGTCCTCAGGACAACCTGCAGTTTTACTCCTCAGTCTTTTGTCAGGAAAGCCTTCATCACCTGTCACCTGCAAACTGTTACTCACTTTTGAAACCCAGCCTGGCCGTCATCTGGCCCAGAACGCTTCCGCCGAGCACTGCCCACTCCTGGCAGGTGCCCTTCTTGCTGCACTATCAAGCACCATCTCCCTGCCAGGATGATAGTTTTTGAAGACTTGGGCAGGATGGGGCCTATTTCTTCGTCTCTGGGAAGCTACTGTAAGCTGTTAAATGATTTCGGGAAATGACCCCTTCCTGCTCTTGACATTCAGGAAGCCAGACATTAGCTCAGACTTGAAGTCTGAACCAGCCCTGCAAAATCTGCAGCCTGAGCTGTTCACTCCAGCTGATGACCCAGAAGCCAGACAAAGGCTTAACAATGGGCTTCCGGGCAGCAGGGGGGCCCTTGTATGGCTGCAGGGCACTCTCCCCAAAGGAAGTTACCATCTAGGGTGGCCTCTACTAGCACTGTATCCTTAGGTAAGGTCAACTTAGAAGTTACCCTAGGCTTTTGGACCCTAGACTCCACTTGCTCCTAAGTAGTCCTACCCCCCTGCTCCACCAGAGAGCCCCCCCCCCATTTGTCTCCTGGAACTGGACTCCTCCCTGTCCCTCAATTACCCCCTACTAAGTTCCCTCTGTTTGTTGGAACGGCTCCCTGGGTTGGAACCTTCACTGTGATTATCTAATAAGTTCCTGCCTAAGTATATGGAGACTTTTTTCCATTTCACACTCGTCTAACAGGCTGCCCAGTAGGTTAAGCCTGTCAACATGACCATGTCAACATGACCATGTGAGCGGCTGAAAGAATGAATGAGCACAACAGGGATCCTGGGTCCAGCGCTGCTTCTGGATACTGGACACCAGGCCCGGGCCTCCGTATTTGTGTAATTCATTTTATGTGCTTCGCCTGGCAAGGGTGTGAGTTCCAAGGGCCAGTGCCTGCCCTTGACGCTGTCACTCATTTCTGAGTTCCTGCCTCCCCCGTGTACACCATTCACATAATGGGTCTGCTTAAAATCATGCCACAGCTTCCCGCTGCCCTCAGAATAAAACCCACACTCCCAACCTAACCTGCCAGTCACTGGGCAGCCTGGCCCTGCTCTCTCTCCAGCCTCCTCGGGTTCTGCCCCAGCTCACTAGCCCTGAGGAAGCTCCCTCCTGCCCCAGGGCCTTTGCCTCTGCAGTTCTCCAACAGAGACACTCCCCTGCAGCCTCTGGTAATTGGCCACTCGCCATCTTTTGGGTGTCAGCTAAAACAGCCCCCTGCTAACCCCCCTGTGGAGCACTGTGGATGCCTCCCACATCTGAAGTGCAACTTATTGTTTCTGAACACAGTTCTTTGATTATTTCTGTGTCCTGCACAAGATGGAAATTCCAGGAGGGTCTGGGGGTGGGGGTGGGGGGCGGCTGTCTGCCTCCCTCCTCGCTCCCTCCTGCAGGCTCAGCAGTCAGCCCCAAGCCTAGCACCCAAGTACAGACACCGGTGACGAACGAACGCGTTCCTTTCTGGGGCGCTTTATGTTCCCTCAGACTCCGCCTGTGCTGCAGCAGGTGCTCCACGAACCCTCGCGGAAGGAGGAAAGGAGAAGCCAATGAAGACCAGGCCAGCCCTCGAGCGTCACCTTCGGCACCTTCCTCTTGATCTCGCCGTCTCTGGTATAGCGCGTATGTGTGGATAGATATATAGTTTGCAGGTCTAACTATATACTCACAGGTGGGGGCCCCTCTCCAGGAGTTGGGCTGGGCTGAGAGTCCCCGTCCCCCGCCCCCCGGCCCGCCCCACATGCACACAGCGAAACAGTAAAAAGAAAACATCTCAAAACTGCAAAAAACACCACCGCCCTCCCCGCTCCCCCCACCCCACAGAAAAATAAAACACGACGCTCCCCGCCCCGCGGCCCGCTCCCTCCCCGGCCCCTCCCTGGGGTCCCTGATTCGGAGGGTGGGGGCGCCCCCCACGCCGCGGGGGGGGCTGGGGCGCGAGGGGGCGGGGAAGGCCACGCGGTCTCCGGCGCGCTCACGCGGAAGGGGGGCGCCCCCGACCCCCGGCAGCCCGGTTGCACGCGCGCCCGCGCACGCGCCCCGACGCCCCTCGGCGCCCCGCGCGCCCCTACACGGGCGTGGTCTTCCTGTTGAGCGTGTTGGTGTTGGACGCGGCCGCCTCCTTGGCCAGGGTCCCGGGCGCGGGCGCGGCGGGCGGCGCGGGGGCGCGGGCGGCGCGGGCGCGGCGGGCGGCCCGGTGACCGTGACCGTGACCCCGCCGCCCGCCTCCTTGGGGAAGGCGTTGTGCAGCGTGAGGAAGCCGGCCGCCCCCCCGCGGTCCCGCTCGCCGCCCGCGCCGCCGGGGCCCGCGCCGCCGGGGAACGCGCCGCCGCCCGCGCCCGCCAGCCCCGCCGCCACGCTGCCCTTGGACGGGTCGCGGCTGAGCGTGTACATGGAGATGTCCGTGGAGGCGAAGCCCGGGCCGCCCGGGCCGCCGGGAGACGCGTCCCGCGACGGCGACGGCTCGCTGGAGCGGGAGCTGGAGCGGGAGCGGCGGCGGTAGCGGAAGCGGTAACTGGGCAGACGGAGGATGGCCGAGGGGCCGCTCCCGCCACTGCCGCCCGCGCCCCCGCCGGCCTTGAGCAGGTCCGAGCGCGACTGGCAGTGCGCCTCGCGGCTGCGCTCGATGTAGATGTTGACGGCCAGCACGCCGATGACCTCGGCCAGGATGAAGGACAGCCCGCCGAAGTAGAAGGACCAGCCGTACGAGTAGTGGCTCTTCCGCTCCTCGTCGCGCTTCGGGCCCGGCTCGCCCGCGTTGGCCGAGATGTACACGATCACGCCGATGATGTTGCTCAGGCCTGGGCGGGGACGGTCAGACGGGAGCCTCGGGCCACGCGGGCCCGCCCCGCCCCGCCCCGCCCCGCCCCGCCCCAGCTGCCGTCGAGCCCGCCCGCGAGGGGTCCGGACCCCGCCCCTCACCCCCACCCCCAGAGGCCAGGCCGGGGCGCCGGGGGTCTGGCCCCGTCCGGGGATGGCTCGGGCCCCGCCCCGCCCCAGCTGCCGTCGAGCCCGCCCGCGAGGGGGTCCGGACCCCACTCCCGACCCCAAAAGCCCAGCCGGGGGTCTGGCCCCGTCCGGGGATGGCTCGGGCCCCGCCCCGCCCAGCTGCCGTCGAGCCCGCCCGCGAGGGGGTCCGGACCCCACTCCCGACCCCAAAAGCCAGCCGGGGGTCTGGCCCCGTCCGGGGATGGCTCGGGCCCCGCCGCCCCGCCCCGCCCGGGAGGTGAACGCTCCCCCCGGCTGGCCCAGGCCCCGCTGGTCTAAGCTCCACCTTCACAGGGCCCAGCCCCACCCCCACCCAAGGTGGTCCAGGCACCATCCCAGGTGACCTGAACTCCCCCGCAGCGGGGCACGCCCCAGCCCAGGTGAGGGCGGGCCCGCTCGAAGCCGTCCCGACAAGGCCGGGCTGGCCAAGCCAGGGTGGAAACTCCTCTCAGCCGGTCCAGGTTCTGTCCGATCTAGTCAGGTTCCCAGCCCCGGACGGCCGAAACCCACCCACCCACCTCCAGCGGTCTGGCCTGCACCCACCCCACCCCGGCGGAGGCAGGCCCCACCCCGGCCGGTCCAAACCCCGCGCCTGACGGCGAGGCCCGGGTCTGAGTGTCCAGGCACTTGCTGACGGCCCCCGGCCCTAAGAGGACCAGCCTGGGCCTCCCCTGGGCCCACACTCCACTCCCTCAACCTCTGTTCAGGGGATCCCGCTCTGACGCGACGACAAACTCTTTCAGGAGACCCCAGCCTGGGCGCGAGCCGGGCTTCCAGCCGATCTCACACTCGCCCTGGCTGAGCAGTCACTCCTCTGCCCTAAGTCCCGCCCCGGCTGGCCCAGCCGCTCCCTCCGCTCGAGCCCGGCCTCTCCCCGCCTGGCCGCTGTGCCGGGTCTCGCTGGCCTTTCGGGTGCTCCAGGCCGCCCTGCACCCTAAGGCAGGCCCTGGCCTTCGTGCTAAAGCCCACCCTCTTCTTCCCTGGACCCCACCCAGCCAGAAAACCTCGGGCTCCCGCGTCGCCCGGGTAGGAAGGGGGTGGAGAGGGGGTGGAGAGGGGGGTCCGACCACCTGAGGACACGCCCAGCAGGCAGGCCCAATGGCTCCCGGGACCCGCCCCTTCCAGGCGCCCCCAGAGCCTCCGCGGACCCCCCTGGAGCAGCGCTCAAGCCCTTGCGCGCTCCCCAAAGCCCGCCGCTCGGGTTTCAGTTATCTCGAGGCTCCACCCTCTTCCTCCAGCCGGACCCGCTTCCTGAGCTGAGCCCCGAGCCCCGGGCCTCCGAAACATCGGGCTCCAGACGGGCGCGCGGGCTCCAGCGCCCTCGCGCAGCGGGCGGCGATGCGGCCCGGGAGAAGCCTGGGGAGGCCTCGGGCCCCAGGGGCGCCCGGGGCAGGGTGGCTGTGCGCGCGCACACACTCACTCACACTCACTCACACTCACACGCGTGTGCGCAGGCGGGCCGCCCCCTCCCTCTGCCCCTCACCTGCTGCCACGAACAGGATCCCCGCACCCAGAATAATGTTCCTCTTGGACTTGTAGACCCGGGAGGCCGCCACGCACACGCCCCCGAGCAGCAGCAGGATGGCGCTGAGGATCGGGAAGATGCTGGAGGCCCGGACGACTCCTGCGAGGGAGAAGGACAGGAGGGGGGCGGGGGTGAGGGGCTGCGCCCCCCGCCCCGGCCGGCCGCGACGCCGCTCCGGGCCCCCCGCCCTGCGGGGCTCTGGCTCCTTCGTGTTGGCTTCATTCTCCTCGAAATGTCCCCCTTTCTCGGCCGGAGCTCCTCGTTCCTTCCCCCCGCCCTGCTCCCCCGGCCCCGTCCAGGTTCCTCTCTCGGCACATGGGCCGCCGCCCGCCACCCCCGCTGTCTCTCAACCTCGCCCCCCTTTTCCTCTGAACTTGGGTTTCTCTGTTCCCGCTCCTCTCGCCTCCCTCTCGCGGGGGCTCCCCTTCTCTGCACCCCTTTCCTGCCCAGAGCCTCTCCCAGCAAATGTCTCAATCTCCCTCCTTTTCTGCCCGGCTTCATCGAGCGAAACGGGGCTCCCTCCGCCCGCGCCCCGCGCCCTCCCCTGACACCCCTCAGTCTACCTGTATTCCCCCTTCCCCTGCACCCCTCTCTATGCTTCTCCCCCCTCTCTTCCCCTGCTCTGCCTATGCTTCTCCCCCTTCCCCTGCACCCCTCTCTACCTGTTTCCCCCCCTCCTCTGCACCCCTCTACCTATGCTTCTCCCCCTCCCCTGCACCCCTCTCTACCTGTTTCCCCCCCTCCTCTGCACCCCTCTACCTATGCTTCTCCCCCTCCCCTGCACCCCTCTCTACCTGTTTCCCCCCCTCCTCTGCACCCCTCTACCTATGCTTCTCCCCCTCCCCTGCACCCCTCTCTACCTGTTTCCCCCCCTCCTCTGCACCCCTCTACCTATGCTTCTCCCCCTTCCCCTGCACCCCTCTCTACCTATGCTTCTCCCCCCTCTCGCTTCCTCTGCACCCCTCCCCCCTCCTTTTCTACTTGGCTCATCTCTTGCTCTGCTCTCGTCTGTCCCTCCCTCCCCCCTCCTGTCTCTCCCCCTTTGTCTCTCTCTCCTCTCCGCGGTCCTCTCCACCATCCTCCAGGCCCCAGGCAACCAGATTTCGCGATTCCTGCGCCTGGCTGGGGTCGCAGCCAATCAGAAGTCTGGGTTTGCCGCGTCTCGAGAAAACCACCAATCACGCCGCAGGCTTTCCCAGCCGGCTCCCGAGAGCGGCCAATCCCCGCCGCAGATTGCCTCACCGCGCCGGCACGCAAGGGCCAATCACTGCCTAGAGGCCGACAGCCAGTCGCAGTGCCGAGCGGCAAGCGGGCGCCCAAGAAAGCAAAGCGGCCAATCAGCGTCGGGGATTCCCCCCTCAGCCCGCCCCAAGGTGAGAGGAGGGGGCGGGAAAGGGACCCCTGAGCCAATCGGGGGCCAGGGGATCGCAGAGTCTGCACGTGGATTGGCCGGCACTCTCCGCTCCGCTTGTCCATCTAGGTGCCGGCGCCCAGCCCCCTCTCTGCCGCCCCTCCCCCGCCCAAGGCCTGCGCCCCCAGCTCGGCCCCGGAACCCCACGTACGGAGCAGATACTCCGCGCTGTCATGGTCGTAGTCCGTGTCCTCCGGGAAGTGGTTGATCTTTACGCAGACGCCTCTTTTCAACCCTGGAGGGGGGATGGGGTTGGAGGAGGGGGGATCTGAGTGGCGGGAACCGGGGAGGGAAGGCCCTGCCCTTCCCAAGCCCTTCTCTCTCCGGCCGGTGGGAGACAGAAAGTCCTGGCCCCGGAGCCTGGCCTAGCACCGGGCCTGCACTTTCCAGCTCTCTGCGCTCGGCTTCTCCGACAGTTAAAGTAGGGGTGGGGGGAGAAGGCGGGGCGCCCCTCCAGCACTCACTGAGGAGGCGCAGCACCTTCGCCCTGTACCTTGGCCTGGGGCACCACCTCTCCGCCTTCTGCGTCTCCTCTTCCCCGCGCTCAAGAAAGGAGGTGCTGGTTTCCACCATGCCAGGGTGCCCGCCTAGCCCCACACTTGTTGGCAGGTCAGAAAATGCGTGGTCCACTAAGGGAGTGGAGGGAGGCACCAGAGGGAGAGGTGGACTACATTTCCCACAAGGTTTTGTGACGTCCTGTGTCTGGTTGTGAAGCCAGAGTAGCCCCAGTGGAACATGGGAGTTGTAGTCTCTTTGGTCCTTAGTCTAGGGAGAGGGATTCCGAGGCTCTTACCTGGAATCCTCTGGAAGGAGAGGGAATCCTTGGAGCAGAGGCATGCCTCCAGGGATCATTCAGTCTCACCCCCTTCTTCCATCCCAGAGACCTGTCCTCAGGTCCAGGTTCTCACACCCTTTGGGAACCTCTCATCTCATCTCCAGCACATAGCTGGAGATTGATATATAAGTAAGTATTAATATAAATACATTTCCTTTCGTCAGTTTTCCAGGCTCCTTCCAACCTGCGTGCCTTTGCTATGCTCTGGAATATTCCACTCATATTCTTCATTAACGAAAAACTTATCCTGCAAGTGGACACTCATGGAGTATCAACTTGAAGAGACATTCTCTGCACAACTGCACACACACACACACACACACACACTTTCCACCAAAGTTGGGTCACCTCCCCTCTCTGGGTGCAGGAGTTCCCAATTTTAACCCAGATCAGATTGATTTAGGATCTTCCTCACAAGCTAGGAGTTCCTGCAGGGAGGGCATGGGGTCTGATTCTTCTGTGTGTCTCTCACCTGGCACAAAGAAGACCTCAACAAATGGGTGTTGAGTGAATGTATGAGGGAATAAATGATGAGTGAACATAAGGCAGCAGGAGGGGAGATTTGAGGCCTAAGGGAACAAGGGAAGAAAATAGAACCAAAGAAAGGGTTGGGAAGAAGGAATAGAAGACAGTGAGATAACATTTGTTAGTGCTTTCTAGGTGGATTAACTCATCCAGTAACCAAGAGTCTCATGAAATAAATGTTACTGGTGTCATGAAATGACCAAAGGTTAGTAATTGGAGTCACTCTTCCTGATTACTAATTAGAACTCATCATGTCCTGATTCTGTCACTTTGTTGACATTAGTTAGTTCCTTCACCTATAAAAAGAAGATAATAGGACCTACCTCACTGGATTGTTGTGAGGACTGAATCCAGGTAGAGATTTAGCACTTTGCCTGGAACACAATTAAGTGCTCAGTTGATATCAGTCGATACACCCATTGCCCAGACGAGGAAACTGAGGCATGAAAAGTATTTACCAATTCACACCTGAGGGGTGGTGGAAGCAGAGGTGGGACACAGCAGAATTTGTCTCACTGGAATGGAAGCATACAGATAGCTCACCACTGTCATCTTGGCATCTAGAACAACGCCTTGCATGGAATCAGGGCGTAATAAATATTTTTGAGAAACAACAATTGGATGGGCCAACCAACACATGAAGAAAATGCAAATGAGGGCCTCCCTGGGGGCCCAGGGGTTAAAGATAGCACTGTCAAGCTATCACCAGTTACTGCAGTACCAGTTCAATCCCCAGCCAGGGAGCTGACCCACATGGCACAGCAGACCTCTCCTGTCTCCCCACTGCTCCCCTCAGTGGTATATTTCAGTAGATCTGCCTGTTCTGCTTCCCACTTTCACTGGTTAATCCTCTCACCCCCCACAACTCTGGCATACACCCCAGAGTTCTTGTATGCTTAAATAAATAAATCTTTAAAAAAAAAATGAAAATGAAAATGAAAACCACAATGAGATACCACTTCAGACCAAGGAGGCAGACTACTTGAAAAAAACAAGGAAACGGAAATAAAAAAGTGTTGGGAAGTATATGGAAAAATTGGGGGCCTTGTGCACTGATTGTAAGAATGTCAATGTTGCATTTGCAATGAAAAATAACATGGAGGTTTCTCCAAAAATGAAAACCAGAATTACCATAAGATCCAACAATTCCACTTCTGGGTCTATACTTAAAGGTATTAAAAGCAGGGTCTCTTAGGAAAGATTTGTACACCCATTTTTATAGCAGCATTATTCACAATAGTCAAAAGCAACCCAAATGTCCATCTATGGATGAATGACTAAACACTATGTGGTGTAGACACACAATGGAATATTGTTCAGCCTGAAAAAAGGAAAATCTGACACACACCAAAACAGGGTTGAAACTTGAGGACATTAGGCTCAACAAAACCAGCCAGTCACAAAAAACACAAATATTGTGTGATTTCACTTACATGGGGCACATACAGTAGTCAAGTTCATAGAAACAGAAAGTAGATTTGTGGGAGCCAGGGGGTTGGGAGTAGGGGGAACAGGGAGGTAGTGTTTAATGGATGTAGAGTTTCTGTTTAGCAAGATGAAGAATCTGAAGTTGGGGGCACAGCAACGTAAATACACTTAACATCACTGAGCTGCATGCTTGAAAATGGCTAAGTGACAAACTGTACATGATGTGTCTTTTACCACAATTTTATTTTAAAAAGGATGAATGAATGACTAGATATAGACCTCAAGTACAAACCCTTACCCATCAGCACAGACATGGTGGTTTGGTCGCTAAGACTGTGGCTTCAAATTCTCTCCTTTCTTCAATGGGCTGATACTACTTTCCTCAAAACGTGATCAGTAAATGAGATTGAGCATGTCAAGCACACAAACTCTTGACAGATTAGTGGTGACAGTGATAATGATAGCTACCTAGTGTTTCCTGAGGGTTAACCACGCATCAGGGGCTGCTCCAGCATCTGACAGATTTGAACACACTCAATACTCATGACAGACCCAAGAGCTATGAGGTATCATAATATCTCAGGTGAGGAAACTCAGGCAGAGTTGCAGGAGCTACTCACTCCCCATTGAGAGAAGATCAAAGCACGACAGGTTAGCCTATTGAGCATGGAAGGAGACTGAAACCACAAAAGGATGGGGTCTGCCCCAGACTCTATATGCTTGCATGCCAGGACAGCCACTTCCCAGCCCTGTGACTTTTGACACTTCAATGCCCTTGAACCTCAACTTCCTCATCTAGAAAATGAGAGCAATAATAGGACCTTCTAAGATTTACGTAAGATTTCAGTGGAACTTGATTAGATGCAGTCACATGCAGGCTTTAGGGGTTTGTGTGGCATGCCTCTGGGCAATCCAGCTGTGCTAGGAGATTTTGGGGTGCAAGGATGGAAAGAGTGTGACCCTGAGTCTCCCCCAGGGCCTGCCTAGCACGGACGTAGGCAGAGCAGGTCAAGGGGGCAAGCAGATGTGTGCTGCACAAGGACACACAGAGAAGTGGGTTCTAGCCCCAGCCTGGCTGGCCGGGCTGAGGCACTTCCCCATGGACTTCCTCCTCTGACAATAATAACACCTTCTCTCCCCGCCCGGTGACTGGGAGGACGCAGTGAGATACTAAAACATGCAGAGAGCTGAGCACAGGGGATCTATAGAGTCTGCTGTGGGTCCAGATTCTTGAGTCCTTGGAACTGTAGCTGAGAATTCGGGGAACTGGGCTAGCCAGATACTACCAGCCAGGGGTGACTCTTGAGTGCTTGAAAAATGGCAACTGAGCTGACCTGTGAGTATAAAATAGACACAGGATTTCAGATGTACGAAATCCTGTATTAAACAAAAGCATCCTAGTTCATTAATAATTTTGTAGTGATTACACATTAAAATGATACTATTTTGACTCTGCACGGTTAAATAAAATGTTGTTGACCCTCATGTTAATTTATTATAGTGTACAAATGATATTTATTAAATTATTTTCATTCATCATTTCCATTTTGCTTGTTTTACTGTAGCAACTAGAAAAATGTATATTTTCCATGAGGATCATTTTTGGGCAGTGCTGGGCTGAAGGTTGGGAATTCTGCCATCAAGGAGGGGGGACCCTACCTGAATTGCTAATAATAATACCAAGAAGAAAAAAGGAATCAAAATATATAATGTGGGGCCTCCCTGGTGGCGCAGTGGTTGAGCGCTGGGTTGCGAAGCTGCCCGCAGCCTCTGCAGCGCCGGTTCGATCCCTGGCTGCTCCCCGGCCACCAGAGGAGGGTCCCACAAGGCGCGCAGACCTCTCCTGCCGCCCGCTGCTCCCCTCAGCAGTGTACTTCGGTCCTTCTGCCTGCTCTGCTCCCCGCTCTGGCTCTGGTGAATTCTCTCACCCTCCCGCGCTTCTGACTGTACCCAGTGCTTGTATAAATTAAATAAATAAATAAATAAATAAATAAATAAAAATCTTTAAAAAAAATATATATATATATAATGTGTCTTTGAGTCTTTTAAATGCTTTCCAAATAAACTGACTGACTCCCATGTGCTGACTAAGGGGCCATAACCACCCCCGTTCCACCGATGGTGGGGAGGCAGGCCAGAGAATTAAATACATGGCCCAGGTCACCCTGCTGGACATGGAAGCAGGAGGTAAACCAAATCGCTTTTGTTTCAGAGTTTGTGTCAAACAAGCCACTGTGTCTCAGAGACTGAGGGAGAGATGCAGATGGAGCCCCAGAGTATTGATGGACTACTGGGTCCTTTCGAGGCCCGTACTGGGCTGACCCCTGTTCTCCACGACAGCGCTGATGGACATGCTAAATGTGACGTGTCCGGAACTGAGCTCTCTGCTCGTAACACATTAGATCAGCACAAATAACCCAAATAAAACAAAATGCCTGCTGTTCCATCTGATGAGTGCCCCCACACAACCACACACACTTTCTCAGGTGTTCAGGCCATCTCTTTAGATCAGCGATTTTCCAGGAGGGGAGAGTTCATTCCTAGTTTAGGGACAGTTGACAATTTGATTGTGACAACTGGGAGGGGTCGCTGCTGGCAAGCAGAAGGTGCAGGTTGACCAGCTGCTAAACGGCCCCCACGGCAGCGGTCGGCCCCATCAAGGAATGATCCGCCTCCAGAGATCAAGAGATCCAAAGCCGAGACACGTGCTTTAGACACACAGAGACGTCCTTTATCTGATGTCCCATGACCACCTCCCAGTAACTTCTGCTTGCTGTGGCCCCAGCATATTCTCTGGTTTTCAACCACTTCCCTACCTCAGCTGCTCCCACCCAGACGCGTCCCCTCCCGTTTGCCCCTTCACCGTTCCCTGGCTGTCCCCCTTGGCTGCAGGAGCCAGGGGGCTAAAATAGGAGTCTGCTCCCGTCCCTCTGGGCTGCCCCGTAACCACCAGCATGGGCCTGAGAACAGCATGGGTGATGGGGCCTGTTATCGTGACGGCACCTACTACGTGCCCTGTCTCTCCCTCACCCTGGCGCAGGCCCACTGGCCTCCTCCTGGAAAGCGAACTCTCGGGCCCAGTCGGCTTCAGAGCCTCCGCCGTTGCTCTTCCCACAAGCTCCACCACTCACTTCCTGCAGGCCTCCACTTCGCCTGCTTGGGGAAGCTTTCCCTGGTCTCCTTAGCTACAATTTCACACACACAACCTTAACACTTCCCATCTCTCCCTTGCTCCTTTTCCTCCATACCACTTGCTCCACTGCATACCACCTCCATGCCTAGATCAAGAACAGGGTCTGTGGCACAGTCTGAGCTCCATCAGTGTCAGTGGATGAACGCGCGGCATTCTCACTGTAAGTCACACATCTCGTGATATTTCAGTTAGGGAGTGATGGCATTTATGACACGGTCCCGATAAGCTGTACCATCCAGCCTACTTGTGCAGTAGCTGGACCATTCGGGTGTGTGTGATTACACCCCATGACACTGCACGACAAAGAAATCACCTAAGGATGCATTTCCCAGAGCATGTCCCCGTCACATGATGCATGATTGCGATCCACTGGGGTTTCATGACGCAAATCCCACACTTGGCTCTGTGCCTAGTGCTTGGTCAGATCAGTGAAAGGACGTGAACTTGGATGCCCACAGGAGGAATGACATGACATAATGAAGCAGGTGGGTGTGAGGCAATAGGGAAAGTAAGTGACTGGGGAGAAATGGAGACCCCTTGTCTGATCTTTAGAAGCTACTGCTACTCAGATCCAGACAATCACGGTCACCGCGGGACGCAGGCCCTATGTTGTCAGATCTTCTGCTAGATCAAAAGCAGCCAGAAAACAAGTTTACAATGTGAATTCTCCCTATTTTTAAATGTTGGCAACTGATCGTGATTTTGGTTTCAGTTTTAAACACTCAGCATGCTTGACAAAGCATATCTGCAACTCCCATTCATCAGACCTGAGAACCTTTGGCTCTGCCGCTATCACAGCTGGGCGACCTTGGGCAAGTGGCTTAACTTCTCTGAGCCTCAGTTTCCTTATTCCCCAAAGGAGGGTGGCACCCTCCTCGTAGGATTAAAGGAGATGATAGCATTCCTTACTCAGTGCAGAGCTCAGCAAAGCTGAGGAGAGGACAGGGACAAGAGAGAGGTAAAAAAAGGAAAGAGTAGTGAAGAGATTTCACTCTTTTTGGTGCCAGAGGGAGAGCTTTTGGATGGCCTAGTCCCGCTCCTTGGTGTTGCAGATGGGGCTGCGAAGCTTGAGGAGGTGACAAGATAGAGGTCGCCCAGGAGGACATAGGCACAGTGGGCTGGGGACCCGGATCTCCCGTGGCCCAGCCCAGCACTAGAAAAGGAGTGACAAGGCTAAGAGTAAGAGAGAGGAGGGACAGGAGTGGAGAGAGCGGAAGAGAAGAAACTCAGAGGCAAGAAAGAAGGGATGAAAGAGGAAGACGGGGAATTAAGGCCTTGAGGAGAGGAGGGAAGATGGAGCGGAGGCAGCAAGAGGGAAAGGAGAGCAGGACCAGAGTGGGAGGTTGGCAGGACTCCTGGTGGGAGACCTGCTGGGCAGAGGCGGGTGGAACAAGGAGATCTGAGGAGGAAAAGTTACGGAGAGAAAAGGGAGAGGGCCCGACAGGTAGCCAGAGAGGGTGTGAGTTGTCACGGGAGAAACAGCCAAAAGAACGGAGGAGATGAAGGAGGAGGAGATGCGGGAGGAGAGAAGGCGATGAAGATGGAGGAGACGGAGGAGGAGACGGGGGAGGAGATGGGGGAGGAGATGGAGGAGGAGATGGAGGAGGAGATGAGAGGTGGAGGAGACAGGAGACGGAGGAGGAGATGGAAAAGGAGATGGAGGAGGAGACGGAAGAGGAGAAGGAGGAGGAGAAGGAGGAGGAGACGGAGGAGAAGACGGTGGAGGAGATGATGGAGGAGATGATGGAGGAGATGGTGGAGGAGATGGTGGAGGAGACGGAGAAGGAGACGGAGAAGGAGACGGAGGAGGAGATGGAGGAGGAGATGAGAGGTTGAGGAGACGGTGGAGGACATGCAGGAGGAGATGGCGGAGGAGACAGAGGAGGAGACGGTGGAGGAGATGGTGGAGGAGATGGAGGAGAAAGAGGAGACGGAGGAGGTGATGCAGGAGGAGATGGAGGAAGAGACAGAGGAGGAGACAGAGGAGGAGAAGAAGGAGGAGATGGTGGAGGAGATGATGGAGGAGATGATGGAGGAGATGGTGGAGGAGACGGAGAAGGAGAAGGAGGAGGAGATGGAGGAGGCGATGGAGGGGGAGACGGAGGAGGAGATGAGGGGGGAGGAGATGAGAAGTGGAGGAGGAGGAGGAGGAGATGAGAGGTGATGGAGGAGGAGACGGAGGAGGAGATGAGAGGTTGAGGAGACGGTGGAGGACATGCAGGAGAAGATGGAGGAAGAGACAGAGGAGGAGACAGAGGAGGAGAAGAAGGAGGAGATGGTGGAGGAGATGAGAAGGAGAAGGAGGAGGAGATGGAGGAGGCGATGGAGGGGGAGACGGAGGAGGAGATGAGAGGGGGAGGAGATGAGAAGTGGAGGAGAAGGAGGAGGAGATGAGAGGTGATGGAGGGGGAGACGGAGGAGGAGATGAGAGGTGGAGGAGATTGAGGAGATGGAGGAGATGGAGGAGAAGATGATGGAGGAGATGGTGGAGGAGATGATGGAGGAGATGGTGGAGGAGACGGAGGAGGAGACGGAGGAGGAGATGGGGGGAGGAGATGAGAAGTGGAGGAGGAGGAGGAGGAGATGAGAGGTGATGGAGGGGGAGATGATGGAGGACACGGAGGAGGAGGAGACGGAGGAGATGAGAGGTGGAGGCCGTGGGGGGGGAGCTATGGACGGTGAATGGGGAGACAGGCAGCGGCACTGGAGGGAGGGCGCAAGGGGGTGAAAGGGAGGTGAGGGGAGCAGCAGCTGGGGAGAGAGGAGGCCGGGGCAGAGCCTGGAGCGGGGGTGGCGGGCGGGACCCCAGGCGGGAGGCTGAGAGCAGCGGGAGCCGGGCGGGCGGGAGGCCCGTCCGCGGGTCCCGGGCGGGCAGGGAGGGCGGGAGCGCGGCGGGCTGGGGCTGCCTCGGCGGGGGCCGGAGAGGAGGGCAGGGCGAGAGCTGGGGCGCGGGAGGGGGCGCCTCTGCGGGCGAAGCCGCGGGCTGGCTGACAGGCGGGGAGCGGGGCGCAGGGGAGGGGCTGGGGCGCTCCGGAGGGCGCCGGGCAGAGACCCCGCCCTACCTTCCAGGCAGCAGATCCTCCAGAGCCCCGAGTGCGTGAGGCCGCCGGGGTCCTTCTTCTCGGGGGGCGCGCCGGCCCCGCGGTGGGGCGGGCCCTCGTCGCCGGCCGTGAGGTTGGTGGTGTTGCAGATGAAGGCGCGCGTGTACAGCCAGTAGTCCGTGCTGATGGCGATGGTCATGAGGCCGAAGGCGGCGAAGGCCCCCACGGTCGTCACCAGCACCTGCACCCCCTTTTCGCACCAGAGGCCTCTTTCTTCGTTCCAGCGCTTCAGCGACTCCAGTTTGACCACGGGCAGCCGGGGGGCCGCGGGCCACCACCGGGGCAGCGGGGGCGGGGCCGTGCCGGCGGCTGGGGGGGGGTCTCAGCACAGGCAGAAGTGGGGGCCCGGGGCCGGCGCGCGGGGAGGGGGCGGCACCGAGCAGCGGCGGAGGCGGGTGTCAGCGGGCGGCCATGGTCGCCAGCTGGGGGGAGGCAGGGAGCGAAGTCAGGGTGAGCCCACCGGGCCTGCGGGCCCCGCGCGCCCCTCGGCCCCCCCCGCGCCCCCCCCCACTATTCCCTCCGGGAGGGAAGCGTCCACCCCGGCGCCCGCGGCCTCCCGCTCTCCGGGAAGGAAATCTTCCGCCGGGAAAGTCTTCCCACTGGATCCCCCTGGGAGAAGCCGGGGCCACCCCTTGCCGCAGGACACCCTCAGGCCCCCCCTGCTCTCCCGCCCCGCTCCTGGGGACCCAGCGCCCGGGAGCCACCCCGCCCACTCTCGGGGCTCCCGCACCCCCTCTTCTTACCAGACCCCGCCCACCACCATTCTTCCCTGCCCTTCTACCCACCACCCCCTTCCCTGCGCACCCCGTGTCTCCACAGACTGGCAGCCCCCACCCCCCAAAAGCCCGGTCTTTCTCTCCCCAACTCAGCCTCAACTATCTGCACACTTCAGGATCCCCCCCACACACCATTCAATGACACCCCCCTTCTCTCCTGCAGTTTCCTCTCTGCATACTCCACGACGTCCCCTGCTTAGGAAAAATACATTTCTCAGTCTCTCCTGCCCTTAAAAAAAACCCCAGTCTTCCCAACTAACCCTCACTGCTTCACTCGGAGTAAGAGGGGCTACCACCACCGGCCCCCCAACTCCTCTGCAAGGGAGCCTCCTTCCCCCTCAGACTCTGGATGGAGGGTCCGCAGCCTCCGTCCCCCCAGCCTCACCAGAGGACCTTTCAGGGCACTGACACCCGACTCCCTCCTGACGGCTCCCGGTTTCTCCCGCCGCCCGCGGGGTGGCCCTGGGCTGAGCCCGAAAACTTCCCCCAGGGGGTTCCGGTGGGCAACCCGCACTTTACACCCAGGATTTGGAGGGCTGCCTCCCCCCCCCCCAGCACAGGCTCAGGAACAGACCCCAGCGTCTCCCTTGGACCCCCAAACTGTCCTGCCTCTGACTGCAGAAAGTCCCCCCTCTTTCCTCTGCTTCAGAAAAAGTCTCCCAAAGCGGCCCCCACGGACTCTACAACTTCGACAAACTCATCATAACCATCACTTTCTCCTCCATTAAGAAAAAAGTCCTCCATGAGCTTGCAGCGTCTTCCACTCACAGGAATCCCTTCTCCCGGGCCCCGGGGGCCTCCACTAGAAACGCGGCGCTCTCGGCCGGCCACCCTGCCGTCCTGCTCCGGGGAACCCCCACCGGGCCCGGCCTCCCCACGCCGCGCCTCTGCCCCTGCGCCGGCCCCCCTTCCTCCAGGTCCCCCCACTGGAACCCCTGCCTTCATCACACAGGATCACCCCAACTCTAGGTCTCCCCTACTCGCTTCCCCCTCCCACTCGGTTCCACTACAAGCCCCCCCACTTCTCGGGCCCCGGGAAGACTCCCCTTCACACTCACCCTCGCCACCCACGCGGGCTCCCGGCATCTTTAACTCCGGAAAATCCCCTTCGTGGGCCACACGACTCCCCTTCCGGGGGCCCCTGCAGACCCCTGCTGTCTCACCTGGCTGGGGACCTGTGCCCGAGCCCCCCTGCCTTCCAAATTCAAGCAGAAGCCCCCAGACGGGGCCCCTCAGAAGACCCGGGCCCCGGGACTCCAGCCCGCTCCACGCGGCACCCGCGCCCCCCGCGCCCCCCGCCCCTCCGCGGCGGGTTCCCACGCTCCCACCACGCCCCCAGCCCTGCCCCTCCGCCTCCCCCCGACCCTCCCGCCGGGCCGGCCCCCGCTGCCAGCCGCCTTCTCCGCCCCGGCCCGGGGGCCGGCGAGCCCGGGGCGCGGGGAAGGAAGCCGGGTCCCGGGCCCAGGGTGACCTTGGCCTCTCCCGCCCCGTCCTCCGGTCCCGGGGTCAGCGCCCGGGGGGGCCGTGGGAAAAGCCGGTCCGGGGTGTCTCCATGGCAACGAGGCCTGGGCCCGCCGCCCCGCGGCCCCCCCACTGCCCCTCCGGCGGCCCCCACGCGGGCCCCGGCGCCCGCGGAGCCCGCCCGGCGCCCCTCCCGCCGAGCTGCCCCCCACTCCTTCCCCCCGCGCCGCGCCGCCGTCCGGCCCCCGCCCCTCGGCCTCCCGCGCCCGCGCCGGCGCCGCCTCGCTCCCGGGGCACCTCTGCTCCCCCGGGCCCGCGACCCCCGGCGCGCCCCTCCCCCGCCCGGCCCCCGGGCCCCCGGGCCCCCGGCCCCCCGGCCCCCCGGCCCCGGGGCGAGGGGGCGGGGGCGAGGCGGGGCAGCGCTCGCTCCGCTCCGAGAGGCGCGCTCGGGCCGGGCTCCGGGGGCGACCGATTGTCTTTCGGGACGAGATCGCCTCGGGCCCGCGGCCGCGCGGCAGAGCGGGGACCCCGCGCCGGGGCTCCGGGGAGCAGCGGAGAGGGATCCCCGCCGCGCTCCCGCTCGCGGGGGGCCGGGCCGTCCTCCCGCACCGGGGGTCGCGGAGCCCGAGCGCGGCGCCCACCCACCTCCGACCAGCACAAAGACCCGTCTCACCTCCGGGAACCGCGGGTCCGCGCTCCGGCGCTGGGAGGGCACGCGGAGCCCCCCGGCGGCGCCCCCCCAGAAAAGCCCCGGGGGCTCCCAGTGCTCTCGGCGCCCCCTCCCCCAGCCGCGAGGGACCCCGGCGTCCGGCCCGGGCGGGGGGTGGAGGTGAGGAGGCGCGTGGGAAATGGGGGTGTTGAGGCAGGAGGGGAGGCTGGGGGGCAGCTCTGAGCTCGGGCCCCAAGGGAGCGGGGGTCGGGGTGAAAAAAAAGGTGAGGAGACAATTTGGTTCTCGTGTCGCTGGGTAAAGTGCGGAGCTGGAGGACGGGAGCGGGAGGGAGGCGGGAGGGGGGAGGGGAGCCGCCGGGGATGGGGGAGCCTCGGAGAAGAGATGGATGGGGGGAGGGCAGCGATTGGGGGGCAGGAGCTGGTGGCAGAGGCAAGCTGGGGAAAGCGCGAGAGAAGCCCGGAGAGGGAGGAGCGCTCCAAGGAGGAACGGAAAGAGAGACCCGGGGACGGGGAAACGCAGACGGGGGAGGGAGGATCTGGGGGAAGCAGCGGCCGGTGGCCGAAGGAAGTTGGAGAGTGAGCGAGAAGGGGACAGAGACTGAGCCCCAAAGACAGACGCCCGGAGAGAGCCCGGGGGCGCGGTGGGGGTGGAAAAGGTCCGGGGTAAGGGGGGGGTCAGGATCTGGGTGACAGAAGGGAAGAAGAGACAGGGAGAGAGCCATCCAGAGAGGGGGAGGAGAGACAGATGGGAGAGACAGACAGAGGGACCGAGAGGGGAGAGGGGCGGGGGGGGGAGAGGGGGGCCCGGCGAGGGCTTAACAGCTCGAGGAGGCTTCAGGGGAGAGGGGGAGGCAGGGAGGGGGAGACGATTCAGGGGAGAAAGGTCCAGGGAGCAGAAACCGCCCAGAGAAGCAGAGACAGGTGCAGCCAGCCGCGGAGACCCGAGGGGAGAGACAGATGGAGAGACTCGAACTGGGGGAGAGACCCAGAGACTGAGAGACTCGCAGAGACGGAGGCAGCCGCAGAAGGAAGCTGGAGGAACGGTGGGGGGCGGGGAGCAGGTTCAGACGAACTCAGGGGTCAGGGGTGCGGGCCAGAGCCCTGCCTCCTCCCCCACCCACCGCCCCGGGCCCCGGGCCCTACCCCCTCCCCCATTTGGAAGCCGCCACCCCCACCCCCACTAGCCTCCGTCTCTCCACAGCATCGCTCGCCGCCACCGCCTCTTCCTGTCGTCATAGCAACAGGATCCAGGCGCCCAGCCAAGGCTGGAAGCCGCGGCCGGAAATGAGGGGAGGGCCTTTCAAAAAGGACCCCAGGAGCTCACCCCTGAACCAAAACCCAAGGAAAACTCCCCCCCCCCCCCCCGTCTTCCCGCCCCCTCCCTCCAAGTGGCGAGGGCCAGGCCTCCCCGAGCTAAAGGCCATATTATATTAGATTTGCGAGGAGAGCGAGCTTTATGAATTTCACCAACAAATACACATTTTTTTCTTCCGACTCTGTCCACCCCTAGTTCTAACCCGCTGGGGAAGACGGGCTACGGTCAGAGTGCCCCCAAGATGAGATGGAAGGAGGCGAGACAGGAAGGTGAGGAGCTTGGGTGGAAATCTCAGCCCTGCTGGAGCTGGAGGGGAGGGCCAGCCCCGCTTCTGAGGGGAATGGACCTGTGAGTTCGAGAACTAGTCGGGGCGAGCAGCTTGAGGTAGGAAATGGATGAAAGATGCATCGGTTGGGCTTGGGTTCCAGTCTCAGAGACACCCTCAGCCCGGCTGTGACCTTGCCGGAGGCTCTTCCTCTCTTCTAGACTCTGTTGTTATAACAGGACCCACACGGCCAGCGGGGAGAGAAGAGCCAGGCCGAGGGACGGAACAGTCTCTCCCTGGCCTGGGCCAGCAGTGATCTCAGGACTGTGTCCCCAGGCAAATGCCCACAAAACCCTAGAGCCCGCCTTGACCAGGACAGGAACCTGAACCTCGGGCCAGGCAGTCTCCTTGCCCCGCTGGCTGGTGAAATCGTGCAGAACCCTTGCAAGGAGGCACGAATGTTCAGGTTATAGATGAGCAAACTGGAGCCTCCCCAGCGTAGTCCTTGGCCCAGGGTCATGGTGGTGGGGGAGTATCAGTGTGAGCTGCTAGAGGAGGTACCCTCATGGGGGGCTTGCCATGGGTAGTCAGCAAGAGGTCAACCTCAGAGCCGCTTAACTCTTTGCACATACAAGAGCTGGGGTACAGGCCAGAGGTGCAAGGGTGAGAGGATTCACCAGAGATAGAGCAGGGAACAGAACAGGCAGACTGACTGAAATACGCTGCTGAGGGGAGCAGCCGGGAGACAGGAAAGGTCTGCCGCACCA